TCTTGTTCACGACATCACCAGCAAATGCTGGGGGAGTTTGGCCATATCTTATTGTAACGGAGCTCCTTGTACTCCGACTGAGTACCCTCCGTTGACAGATGCTCCTAGCGCTTCCTGAGGACTCCAAGCAGTGCAGCAGACACCACAACCACCACAGACTCTGCAACCGCTGTATCTTGACTGGAGTCTTGCCGTCTTCCTTCCACCCTGGATCAGCTTCTGTCCTCCAGGACTGTGTGGGAAAGAACTCTTCCTTCCACCCTTTTTAAACCTCCAGCATCCAGGACTGTGTGGTGAAGACCCCTCCTCCAAGGAGAGCGTGTCAGGAACAAGCTCTTAAAAGAACTAAGTGATTCAAGCTCAGAGGAGCATACAGAGCATTGCAATCCCCAATGTGATTATAACAGCTCCCTCCAATAACAAGACAAGGCTACATTTAGAGGGATCAAGAAGAACTGTCTAAACCTTTATTTCCCTTGGGACCAGCCCATAGGGTCACCACAATAACATTGTTGTGAAACCTCAATAAAATCACAAACAGCCAAACCATAGAGGGCAACACACAGTGACTTATCACAACACAATGGCACATTTTTAAAGGGGTGGGGGAGACAATATTTAACAGTAAATATCTCACCTGCCTGCAGAATTAGCAATATGCAAATCTACCCAGATATGCAAATTAACCAGTCTTGCAATTCAGGTAGTGCATATTGCTGTTGCTACCAACAGAGGGCACTAGACAAGCTCCATAGCCAAACCCACCTAGTTGGTAGCAAACCTCAGCAGTACAAGAGAGCAAGCAATACATTACACAGTACACACACACACACACTATAAACAATTACATTACACACACCCTGCACCTATAATGGGTACAGGGTGACTAAAACATAAGATAAATAAAGCAGCCTACATAAATAGTCTGTCTGAAGGTAGACTAGGGGCTTTAAAGCCAGATACATGAAAGAGTCATAGTCACAGGGGAGGAGGCTGGCAAGTAGGCCTCTCCAGGACCAAGGGCGAAGGGCACTTCGTCACACTTCTGTATCCTCTCTGGTACCAAGTACCAGCTGTATAGAATCTTTCTTTGGATTTCTAAGTGTTGAGCACAAGAGGTTAAGCCTTTATGTATCGTGAGTGATCTTTTCCACTTTGACCAGCTGATCTCAAACCCCACATCTCTGCTCCATGCCCCTTTGTATGGTTCTTTTGGTGGTGTTTGGCTGTGAAGAAGCAAAGAGTAGCATTGAGACAGCGGTTTCTCGGGGGGGGGGGGTTGCTTTTTCAAACTCAGAGACAGTGCATTTATCTGTTGGTATAGGTCTTGCGGGCAGGTAATTGGCGAGAAGAGATTTTATTTGGAGGCAAGGATATATGAGTTTGAAAGGTAATACGAGCCTTTTTAAAGGACCACTATAGTGCCAGGAAAACATACTCCCATCCTCAGGGACCCACTACCGCCGGGCTCTGGGGGGAGGAATGAGATAAACTTACCTCTTTCTCCAGTGCCGGGCGGGGAGCTCTCCTCCTCCTCTCCTCCCTCTTCTTCCGTCACTGGCTGAATGCGCATGCGCAGCAAGAGCTGCGTGCGCATTCAGCCAGTCCGTAGGAAAGCATTCACAATGCTTTCCTATGGACGTTGGTGTCTTCTCACTGTGAAAATCACAGTGAAAAGCGCGGAAGCGTCTCTAGCAGCTGTCAATGATACAGCCACTAGAGGCTAGATTAACCCTATTATAAACATAGCAGTTTCTCTGAAACTATGTTTACAGCAGAAAGGGTTAATCCTAGGTGGACCTGGCACCTAGACCACTTAATTAAGCTGAAGTGGTCTGGGTGCCTATAGTGGTCCTTTAAGTTTGGCGCCAAACCCGGTTGCTGATAGATCGCAAAGTCGCAGCGGCCATCTTGATTAAGGGCAAAATAACAGAAAATCACCAGGAGAGGCTGGAAAACAGGTCAGTAATCACCTAGAGGTTATTTAAGGGAACCTTGACCTGGGAACTATACCTTTTGGCGCCCATTCTCTGAATATCTATTGAAATATAGTTTCTTTTGATCTCTACTTGACCGGGAATATTTTGTGCCTGTGTCAGCTCTTGCATTTGCCACAGGTATGATGGAAGAATGCTGTATCCTAGTTATCATTTTCTTATCTTTTGCTTGATTTGGGGATATTGAATGTATTTATTTTTTATTATAGTTAGCCCATGGCTAGGAAGTTGGATTGTAACCTATCCAAGATATATACGGCTGCAGGAGCAGGATGTCATCCAGCAGTAGCTCTCACAGTAGTATCTAGGCCCATGAAGAGTTGGGTAAGAGATCTGGATTCAGATATGGAGAGAGGAGTGAAAAGATCTAGTCTCAGAGATTTGGGATATGCAGGTAGCTAATGAATTCTTCGCAGAATCATATTACATTCTATCTTAATCCCACTTCCCCTGAGGAGGTGAGTTGGCATACGCTAGATGTGGTGAGGGCTATATCACTCTATCTGGAACAAAACAGTACTTTCCGCAGGTCTTCTAGACTCTTCGTATTGCCCACTGGCCATATAAGGGGTGAAGGGGCCTCTACTCTAAGAAATTGGGTGGTTTCGGCCATCTCTAAGGCATATCATTGCCTCTGACTACCTGTACCCAAGGATATCAGAGCACACTCTAGTCGAGAAGTTTCTGCATCTTGGGCTTCTGTGTCAAATGCATCATCTGATAGTATTTGTAAAGCTGGCACCTGGTCTTCCTTGAACACGTTCATCCGTTACTACAAACTGGATGTCAGAGCTACAGAGGACTCTCATTTTGGACGTCAAATCCTTAATTCAGTCCACTCTTGAGTCCACTAATGATTTACTGCTGTTGTATTTTTCATAAAAAAATTATTTTTGCATCAATTTATGTCTCTTTGTCCCTCCCTGTGAAGCTTGGGTATTCCCATTTGTGTTTGCTGTCATGATTGGCCAGGAAAGGAGAACATTTATTCATACTTACTGGCTATTATTCATGGCAGCATATACTACCCGCTCAGTATGGTTTGATTATTATGCTTTTGAAACTTGTTCCTGACTGAGGTGCTTGTAGCTACGTCACCATTTAAAGACATTGTTTTAACTCCTGTCCTATCGGCTGTAAAGGGCGGAAATAACCCATGATGTATATGCTGCCATGAATAATAGCCAGGAAACGAAAATGACGGTAAGTATGAATACATTTTCTAATATATATATATATATATATATATATATATATACATACATACATATATATCTTGCATATTTTTTTATGTTGAAGAGTAGTTTCCATATTATCAATTTAAGGAACAAAATGCTGTTAAGTTATAGCACCATAACTAGTGTAGTGACCTGTAGTGGTTATGGTTCTTAGAGTGCCGCTTTAAACAGAATTAAGTAAAATCATAGTGAACACATATTATGTAGCATGGAAATACCACGGACTACCATCATTAACGTATTTTTTAGCACACGTTTATTGTCACAGTTGGTTTTACAAAGACCAACACTGGCAGAAACGTTTCTGTGCCAGCTCACAAATAAAGGCTGCTTTTTAATATATGTGGAAGAGTATTGGACGGTTCTTTGTTTGTGGGTTTGTAGTCTGGCAGTGATTTTCACTTAATTGAGAATTTATAGTGAATTCAAAGTGAACTTTAATATTTAAGGCCAAAGTAGCTGAAACATAGCTGACTGAGTGTTTCCAGGGCGGCTATTTTTACCTTGAATTTGAAATTCACTTTGAAATCTCAGTTTGGTGAATACTGTCTGCCTTTCCTATATTTTGTACTAAGCTCTGATGTGACAGGCTCTGTCTAACACTGTCCTGCTGTAGGAAAAGTGCTGATACGCAGAGAAATCACGCTGGAATAAGTTACGGCTAGATTCTTTTCACAAAGACTAACAATTCAAACATTCCGCTAGGACATTTTATCCCCTGATGGACCTGATAAGATAAACACAGAACTTTTTACATTTTAAACTCATTCTAGATCACCGCAGAAAAGATTTAAAAAAAGAACTCTGTATAAATATACCACTTTTATATATTAAATACACTATGGGCCACAGCGGGACCACAAATATAAATATCAAATGAACAATGTAAATATATTTTACTGCTTATGGGACTGGCTGTTACAAATATGTTTGCCAGGGAAAGAAACTTTTAATTAGAAAAATATTTGAACTCATTTGTAGGTATTGGCACTGAGGGAGGATCTTATTCTGTATAAACATCTTCCTTGCCATACGTAACCTACTGACACTTTTGTTAGTTTTGGCAAAAAAATAAAATAAATGAAACAAAAAAAAAAAAAATATGCTTTGCCGCTTCTGCAGTGAGCTTGGAGCAGGGCAGGATGTGATGTCACTAACCCACGATGACCCTATTATTCCCAATGGGTGCAAAGCCCACCAAAGGATTATAGGACATGTAGTTTGTTCTATATGACTGCTAATGAAGGAGTGGGCTTATAGCTGGATGGATCTCTGCTAATAAAAGCAAATGTAAAGACATTTATGCAAAGAGAAAGGGAGGCTCCTTATACCATAACCCATACCAGGGATAGGCAACCTTTGGCACTCCAGATGTTGTGGACTACAAATCCCTAGATACTTTGCCAGCATCTGGATTGCTGAAGGTTGCCTACCCCCGACCTATACAATGAGTGCAGACGCTAGAAGTTTGACAGGGGTTAGTGTCAATTGTCAGAAATTCAAAGCATATTAAAATTGAATTTCAGCTATTTTGGTCTATTTATTAAATGTCTTTTGAACGCATGACAACTTTAGTAAATAGCCCTGACAGTGTTCCCACACAGTGAAGTCCATCTCAGTACACTCCAATTCCAGTACCCACAATCCACCGCAACTCCGCCATTAGCGTAACCGCCGAAGGTACACATGATAAGTGTTAAAGTGCTGGCAGAACCCAACCTACTCCTACAAAGGAGTTAGAAATCAATGCAAATTTTCTGTATGGGGGGGCGGGGCCGGGCCGCCAGGCTGCATGGCAGCAGAACCTCATGTCTCCCAGGCTGAGCTCAGGAAAACGGCTAAAAAACAGCACACAGAATACAATTAAGCTGGATTCATCTACATGCTGACGAAGAGGAACACATAAGCTGCCCGAGGATACCACACTGAACCCGGTAATGGGATGGGAACATTGAGTCTCGTAAGCCGGGCCTACACGCCATAATGGGCCTGGACATGTAAGACACCTGTAGGCGCGCGGATAGTGGCCCAACAGGCCGGGGAAGACCGACACCCGGCAATTCTTCACTGAGGACAGCAAAGCCACAAGGGGTGGCCCGGCCCTGCTTCCCCCCCCGGCCGGTGGGGGTAATCCCGGCCACATGGGGACGACATACTCCAGGGCGGAAGAAACCGCATGGGGCCAACACCGATCCCCTGAACAGGCAAAGGCCACCAGACTGGGGCCCGCCTGCAGACTTACTCCACAGGAGACGGAACACAGAGGACTAAAAAAGGGAGACTGACTGAAGCACCTCGTACAGGCCCTGGCGGTGCTGGGCGCCGGACAGACCCCCGCGCTGAGCTCCCGACCACTAGTGGAGCGGGCATGTGAGCCTCTGGGTCTGTGGGGTCCCCGGAGAGCTTTTGTCCCTGATGCTGCGAGCCCGGTGGGGCGGGACCAACGCTGCCCTCCCGATGGACCGGTGGTCGGGGGAGATAGCCACCAGCTCCAAATATGTGGCCGGCACCAGGTGAGACAACAGAGTGCACGCTCAAAGTGGACTCACGTGTAGCTGGGGAGGTGCAGGGAGCAGACGACCCGCGGATTTTGTGGGTGGGTCCAGAGGACGGTTCATGCTCCTGAGTGCCCACAGTGCCGCGGAGGGCCCGGCTGGCGGGCGGGGGCCGGCTGGGGGGGGACGAAAGGAGGCCTGGCGACCCAGGGACAGTATGATGGAAACACAGTGAGAGACTCCTCACAGACGGCCATGCAGGCCGACATGATGATCCAGCAATGCATGAGTTACCTCATCAAAATGTGCTTTCTTACCTCCATATATGAACACTGCAGCAGCTCCCATATCACTAAGGAACTAATGGAACATGCAGGACTCTAGTTTAAAAATGTGTGAG